CTGGAGGGCTTGGAGGTGTGCCTCTAGGGTAGGGCGTCTTGGCGGCCTCCGCCCAGGTCCTGCCCTTCTTCCTACGGCCCTTTTCCCTCATGTCGGGTCCTGAACTGACTGGGAGGCTTCCGTGCCCCGGCTCCGGCTGCCTTCCCTTGCCTGCTGCGCCCTGCACCGCTTTTCCCGCGGGGCGGGGAAAGGTGGGGGGAAAAGGGGAAGTCGGACCGGAGAAGCAACTCAGCGGAGACGCGGCCACGGAGGCGCGCGGTGGCGGGGGTGGAGGGGGGGGGTTCTACGGGGCGGCCGGTCCTGCTGCTGCTGCTGCTGCTGCTGCTGCCACTGCTAACGCCGCTGCCATATTGGGTTCTTACTGTACAGGCAGCCGCTGTGGTCATGTGATCGCTCCCGAGCGGCCGTCACTACTGTCTATTTCCTCTTTTATATAATGGGTAGAATACAAGTTGTTTCACAGGACTATTATGATCATCAAATACTAAGATGGTTTACAAACAAGACATTGTTAATGATGACCAGTTTGGAAAGGAGAGGGTCTTGGGTTAAGGTTATGTTTAATACCCTAGAGACCCATGGAACATAGGGAGGAGGTACTAATGATGACTGGTTGGTCCTATTGTTAAGGACTGTTAAGGACTCCCAGGTCAAGGAGCCTTGTCACTGATGGGCAGCTACTCTGCCAGAGGGCACTGGAGGCCTCGCACCCACTCGTACCCTTTTGTGATTCTTTTTGTTTCCATGATTGGCTTGAAGAGGTTAAAAAAAAAAACAACTCACTAGGAGAAGAGAAAAAAGCTTCCTAGCTGTGCTGGGGTGTGGCTAGTGTCAGGTACCAAGTTGCACGTCTGTCTGCAGGGAGGGTGTCTGTACATTCCATCAGCATTCCTGCCCAGTTAACGCTTGCCCTTGTGCCCTGGCCGTTGCTGAGCCCTCTGACTCAGACCATAGTGATGTAGACATGACCTCTGAGGTTTCTCTCGCACAGGGGATGCTTTCTGTCTCTTTTCTTCCCCTCTGTAAGAACGTAACGTTAGACTCCAGCTGCTGCTCAGGCTGGCATAGCTCGCAGCAGCTCTTTCTCTTCTATAGATGCTGGCGGGAACCCTACAAGGATACTGTCTGTGAGTCTCTAACGGACAGACTTCCAGGTGCCTGGATCTGTCACCTGGGATGTGAGCTTACATTAAAGGCAGGTATCGGTGGCTACACATCCTGTTCGCCTTCTCTGCCTCCTTCCAGGGAGCCTGGCTTCAGGCTTGTACTTTGAAAGCTCCCACGTCCCCAGATGGGTATAAAAAGAGACCCCACTTCTGCCATGTGGTCCCCGATTCCTCTCTTTAGAGACCCTGCGATGCTGTCTGTCTCTGATCCTGGGGCCTGAACATTTCTCTGAGGCTCCACCATGCTGCTGCCTCTGCCTGCCTATCTACTGCATCAATAACTGTTCTAATAGACTTTTCACTCCCCACATTCCCTCAGTGTCCTTCTTGAACCACACTCCCCTGCAAACCCTTTACTCTTAGTATTTCCCATGTAGGGCTTCCTGTGTGTTATAGCAAGAGGCTCCTTGATGGAAAGCACTGGTTTCTGTTATACTTGTTCCGCTCCCAGAGGGGCAATAGTGTCTGACACACAGGAGGCATTCCGGCATTTTTCTGAATAAAGAGAAAAAGTACATGGATGTTTGTTTGAAGAAATGAGCGTGTAACTGAACGTGTGAATGAGTGATTTGCCTAGAGCTTGTTGCAGACGAGGTTAAGGAATAGGGAGGAGCAGAGAGAATATGGGCTTTGGCTAGATCTTGGCTTGACTCTTAGTATGATCACTTGGTTCTGGGACACCAGGACTCCTGTTGAGCTCTATCTGTTAATGAGAATTACAAGGCCCAGGATCAAGAGTTCTGCAAAAATCAAATGAGACTATGCAAAGGTCTCAGGACATATTGGTTGTCTGGCCAATATTAATTTTCTTGGCTTTTGCCTCAGCTTCTTGAGGCAGTCAGAGGAGATCTGACAAGCCAGGAAACATTGAAGGCAGCAAAAGCAGTGGTTTCATTTAAAAAACAAACAACACAACAGCACAGCCATGATTTCAAAGGAAATGAAGATACACGATTTCAGTCTGGACTCTAGTATATGACAGCAGCTCAAAGTGGTGCTTCCTCAGCTGGAAGAGAGTAGGGAGTCTGTGACCCCAGAGCACCCCGCACCAGCTCCCCATCTTGTCCAAAACCAGTGTTCTAGGACTACCAGAAAAGAAAGATGTAAGCAGATCCCTAAGCTCAGAAGACAGTCACCCAAAGAATTTATGGAGTCAGATAGCCCTGGCCACAACGGATGTTGACAGCGGACAGTCTCTGTGCAAAGGGACCCCGAGTCAATGGAGGATGTCTAGAAATTGTTCCTGGACAACGGAAAAGTGAACTTACTTCTGCCACACACAACTAGAAGGGTATCTGGGAAAAGATGCGCTCCTGGTACGGAGGGAAAAGGAGACAGGATTTGTGTGAAGGCTCATAAATGCCTGGAGCCTGGGGATGCTGCCCAGGTGGTAGGGTGCTTGCTTCATCCACCCAGTGCCTTGGGTTCCATTCCATGCACCGCATAAAACCAGATGTGGCACATGCCTGTCATCTCAGCACTGGGAGGCAGAGGCAGGAGAAGCAAAGGCCGAAATCTTCCTTAACTCCATGGTGAGTTCCTGGCCAGCCTGGGGTATGTGAAACCCTATTTCCAAACTAAACAAATCCTGGAGAAAAGAGTGGACTAGTACATGTTTTGGATTAAAGCCAAAAGGTTTGATGAAGTTCTATTGTGAGAGTTATTTTTAGCTTTTTAAAAACCTTTTATTTTTATTTTATGTGTTTTGTGTAGTATGTTCACAGGGTCCAGAAGGGTCAGATCCCTTAGGACTGGAGTTACAGACCGATGTGAACGGACATGTTGGTGTTGGTAATAGAACTGAGGTCCTCTGGATGAGCAGCCAGTGCTCTTAACCACTGAGCCATCTCTCTAGTCCCCTGGTAGTTATGTTTTAAAAGACACTATGACTATCTTACCTTTCCAAGAAGAGAAAGAAGTGGGAAAGCACAAACAGGCACTTCTCCACACACAGGCTACAAACTGTTCTCTTTGCATGTTTGATAAAGAAGTATTGAATAAACTTCTTATTAGGGTTAATTAAACAATTTTAAAGAAGATTTATTTATTTTATGTGGTAAGCATTTTGTCTGTATCACATGCATGCCTGGTGCCCTCTGAAGTCAGAAGAGGATGTCAGGTCTCCTGACACAGAGTGGGGCGTGTGGGCCACCGTGTGGGTGCTGAGAATTGAACCTGATCTGGGTCCTGTGGAAAAGCAACAAGTGCTCTTAACTGCTGAGCCATCCCTCCAGTTCCTGTGGTTGCTAATATTATGCGTCAACTTGGGTAGGACATGGTGCCTAGTTTTGGCTTGTTTTTTTATTTTTATGTTTTCATCCCTTGAAATACCAGTCTAGGTATTGCTATGAAAATTCTTTTGTTCAGATGGAACATTTAAATTAGTAGG